AGACAATGCAGAAATACAAAGGATTATAAGAGACTATTATGAACAACTATATGGCAATAAAATGGATAACCTGGAAGAAATGGACAGATTCTTAGAAAAGTTCAATCTTCCAAGACTGAACCAGGAAGAAATAGAGATTATGAACAACCTAATTACAAGCACTGAAATTGAACTTATGATAAAAAATCTCCCCAAAATAAAAGCCCAAGACCAGATGGCTTCACAGGAGAATTCTATCAAACATTTAGAGAAGAGGTAATGCCTATCCTTCTAAAACTCTTTCAAAAAATTGCAGGGGAAGAAACACTTCCAACCTCATTCTACGAAGTCACCATCACCCTGATATCAATTCCAGACAAAGACAACACAAAAAAGAAAACTACAGGCCAATATCACTGATGAATAAAGAGGCAAAAATTCTCAGCAAAATTTTAGCAAACAGAATTCAGCGACACATCAAAAAGCTCATACATCATGATCAAGTTGGGTTTATTCCAGGAATGCAAGGATTCTTCAATTTACACAAATCAATCAATGTGATACACAGTATCAACAAAGTGAAAGATAAAAACTGTATGATCATCTCAATAGATGCAGAAAAAGCCTTTGACAAAATTCAGCTTCCATTTATGATTAAAACTCTTCAAAAAATGTGCGTAGAAGGAACCTCCCTCAGCATAGTAAAGGCCATATATGATAAGCCTACAGCAAACATTATTTCAAATGCTGACAAACAGAAAGCATGCCCCCTAAGATCAGGAACAAGACAAGAGCGTCCACTTTCCTCACTATTATTCAACATAGTTCTGGAAGTCCTAGTTACAGCAATCAGAGAAGAAAAACAAATTAAGAAAAACTGTCGTTTGAGAATCATGGTGCGGCCTGGACTCTCCGCCGCTGCTGAAGAGCGGCAGAGAAAGCTGCAGGAGTACCTAGCAGCCAAGGGAAAACTGAAGTGCCAAAACACCAAGCCTTACCTGAAAGCCAAGAATAATTGCCCAAATCCTCCACCTTCTAAATCTACTATTGGACCCAAAAAGGATGTTACCAACCATGTTGCCTTGCCAGTCAAAGCTACAAGATCCATCAGCATTAAACTGCAGTCCAGACCTGCCAATATCACCAGGTCTCAGAGACCAAAGTTGGAGCCACCAAAACTAGGTAAAAGGCTCACTTCAGAAAGTGTTTCTTCTAACCCAAACGGTAAGCCTCCTGGCAGTAGTCAACAGCTGCATGGATTTGGATCGTCCACTGATGGAGAACAGCCAAGAGAAACCATGGGATCACTTAATATACAGGAACTGAAAACTACAAAGCAGCAGGTAACAGATCAAAGAATTGCTAAACGTACAGACCCTGTGGACAATACACATGTTGAAAATGAATCCCTGGGTGGCTGTCTAAAGGAGATGAATAAAGAGAACTTGCCCCAAGACTTACCAGACTCTGAAAGGAAGCCAAATCCTGAATCCTGGACCATAAATAAACCCAAAACAAATCAAACCAAAAGCACTTTGGCTCCTACCAGAGAAGTCTTGGGCAAAAGCTCAGGGAACGGTGCTGCTCTGACACAGAGAGTTAGGAAACCATTTGTTGAAGAAACACAAACCAGGGTTCCACCAGGGAAGTCTCAGCAACTCTCTAGAGGAGCAGACCTTATAAGACCAGGGGGGAAACCCCCCAAAACCCTTCCCTCTCACTTTGTCCAGACACTTAATAGATCTCAAGCCACAAAGAAAACAGTGGTTAAGGACATAAAGGCTGTAAAGGTTAATAGAGGTAAGTATGAAAGACCAAATGAAACTAAGTTACAGTCATACACTGTTGCTGAGCAGAAAGTAAAACACAGCAAACCCAGTACGCACCCCAATGTGCTTCAAGGAGGATGTAACCACAGACATCCAAACATTAAGCAAGATCATAAAACCACTCAGTCTTGTTGTAGACCTCAGACATCATATGCACTGCAGAAATCAAAAGCCATAAGCCAAAGGCCAAATTTGACTGTTGGCAGCCTTAACTCCATCATTCCAAACACCCCTAGCATCAGAGCAAATGGAGCCACTGGGCATAAATGCAACACCAGCTGTCAGCAAAGAGCACGGACTTTGGACTCCAAGTTCAAAAGCGCTCCTCCCCAGAATTGTTTTCTAAACAAGACAGCTCCCCGGATTCAAGCTGGTGGCCCAACCGTAAGTGGAAGAGGAGTCCCAGATGGGGCGCAAACTAATCCACGTCAGAAGATTGCAGCAGAGGATCGAAGGAAACAGTTGGAAGAATGGCGGAAATCTAAAGGAAAAATCTATAAACGGCCTCCTATGGAGCTTAAAACAAAAAGAAAAATAATAGAGGAAATGAATATTTCATTCTGGAAGAGTATGGAAAAAGAAGAGGAAGAAAAGAAAGCACAACTTGAACTGTCCAATAAAATTAACAGCACTCTGACAGAATGTCTGCAGCTCATTGAAAGGGTGAGTGAGAACGATAATCTTCCAAGCTTTTCCAAGTCTTAGGGTTTTTAAACACTTTTCTTAAGTATAGTTTCGGGGAGATAACCTCTGTCTAAGCAGAAATTTAGCTACTCCTTTTAACAAGGAGGAGTGATAGTAATAATAATATACATACTTAAATAATGGCTCCTGGTATGCTAGGTACTGTTCTAAGCACTTCACTTATATTATCTCATACAATTATCATAACAACTATTACTATATTCACTTTATAAATGAAGCTGAAGCCCAGAGAAGTTGTGAAATTAACCCAAGCAGTCTGGATCCAGAATGATCCAAAAGGAACTTTGCCTTCTTTGTGTATCAAGGTCCAAAGAGTTCACATTTGACATTTGGAGGTGAAGCTATAGTCAAAAGGCAAGGCCTAGCCTCCAAATTTAGCTTTGGTCTTATCCTTCAGGTTTGACTAGGTAATGTTTCATATCAGTTAAGAGTCAAGTCAGGAAAACAGGAANTTTCTCCAAAGAAGACATACAGATGGCTAAAAAACACATGAAAAGGTGCTCAACATTGCTCATTATTAGAGAAATGCAAATCAACACCATAATGAGATATCACCTTACACCAGTCAGAAATACCATCATCAAAAAGTCTACAAACAGTAAATGCTGGAGAGGGTGTGGAGAAAAGGGAATGCTCTTGCGTTGTTGGTGGGAATATAAATTGATACAGCCACTATGGAAGACAGCATGGAGATTCCTTAAAAAACTATAAATAAAACCACCATATGACCCAGCAATCCCACTCCTAGGCATATACCCTGAGGAAACCAGGGTTGAAAAAGACACATGTTTCCCATTGTTCTTTCAGCACTATTTACAGTAGCCAGAACACGGAAGCAACCTAGATGTCCATTGACAGAAGAATGGATAAAGAAGTTGTGGTACATATACACAATGGAATATTACTCAGTCATAAAAGGAATGCATTTGAGTCAGTTCTAATGAAGTGGATGAACCTAGAACCTATTATACAGAGTGAAGTGGGTCAGAAAGAGAAAGATAAATATCATATTCTAACACACATGTATGAAATCTAGAAAAATGGTACTGAAGAATTTACTCACAGGGCAGCAATGGAGAAATAGACATAGGGAATAGAATTATGGACATGGGGAGAGGGGAGGAGAGGGTGAGATGTATGGAAAAAGTAACATGGAAACTTACATTACCATATGTAAAATAGATAGCCAAAGAGAATTTGCTTTATGTCTCAGGAAACTCAAACAAGGGCTCTGTATCAACCTAGAGGGGTGGGATGTTGGGGGAGATGGGAGGGAGGTTCAAAAGGGAGGGGATACATGTTTACCTATGGCTGATTTATATTGAGCTTTGACAGAAAACAAGATTATGTAAAGCAATTATCCTTCAACTGAAAAAAAAAAAAAAAAGGATCAGAGAACTGACAGTGAGCTAATGGTCCTCTGGCATAACATCAGAAGAAGTGACTACCTCACTTGGCACTGAGAAATACACCCCTGAATGGACCAGTAGATAGGACACTTAGCATGCAGAGATGGGGAGCAAGGGTGAAACTGCATTCCACAACAGAGAATACAATGGCCTCTACTACAGGAGGCTAGGTAGAGATTTGGGTTACCTGGGATGTACCTGCATCATTCCTGAGAACTTAGGCTAAATCCTGTGTGGAGACCTGGAACTGAAACTTCCTGCAGCTGTTGCCTGGATCTATGATGTGTCTGGACTTTACTTTGCTAATAACTTCATGCCATGGGTTTAACCTGTTGGTTCTTGAGAAGTCCAGGACTTTTTGCAGGAGCACAACCCAAATCACTGTTGGAGGAGATGCCTCGAGACAGACCAAGTATTCTCTCAAGTGCTAGTACTTGATGATTTTTTTGACCCTTGACCAAAGGCCACACACATCTGCCTCGGGAACACATTTTAAATCCATCTGGGGCTCTCTTGTTCATGCTGGGTCCTGGGCTCACCTGGGGGCCCTGCTGATGAGCTCACTGATGCTCCTGGTCTCAGCACAGCATCTCTGCCTTGTCATGACAGCGCGCCTCCACATTCTGAACTGTGGGCACATTGTAACCCTGAGCCTCTGGGTTTTTATCTGCTGAACTTTACAAAGAATGAGATTGTTACCTGAAAATTTTGGGGTTTATAGTAGCAAAGTAGACTGAGGGCAGGAGGAGAAGGGGATGACAGAGGATGAGATGGGTGGATGGCATCATTGACTCGATGGACATGGGTTTGGGTGGACTCCGGGAGTTGGTGATGGTCAGGGAGGCCTGGCATGCTGCAGTTCATGGGATTACAAAGAGTCAGACACGACTGAGTGACTGAACTGAACTAATAGTAGCAAAACCTTCTTCCTACCACCCTCACAAACAATATCTAGTTCATAGCATCAATCCTGAAAACAGAGAAGATGACCCTTTCTGGTGGAGGCTGAGCTCTGAACCACACTCACTGAACTTTCCAAGCCCAGGACCTTAGGATGTGACAATCTAGTAGGTTATTTTATTATTATTATTATCTACACAGATGTTTTTGTGAAAATGCATCAAGGGTATAGTTTTATAATGTGTGCACACTTATGATACATGCACACATTTGTGACTCATATATTTTTCTGTACTGCAGATTACACTTCCATAAAAGATTAAAAAATTTCATTGATTAAAACAGAAAAAGTAAAGATACCAATCCTAAGTATGCATTGTCTACTTGAAAAAACATCGAGTCTGAATTTTCAGTTTTATGTTTCAGATCACACTCTATTTAGAGAAATTAGAATTGCAAAGTTGAATCTAATCAATGCACATGTTGCCTATCAGTTTCTGAAAAAAAAAAAAAATATTGAAAAGACCACGTCATGGTTCCCTGAGTTTTGTAATTATTCTGGTGAAACTAAAATAAACTCCAGAGATCCTATCCACTCCACTTTAGAATAGCTGTTGAAGGGATTAAGAATTCACCACTTCTGGTTTCTACTTGTCGGCTTTCACTATTTCTGAATGAGGACAAGAAATGGAGTTTTATGGATGGAGGCAAGAGACTCAAAGGAAGACTCCAGTGACTAGAAATGCAAACTCACAAGATAAAACTCCAATGTCATATGACAATACCACAGTCACGCAGGGAGAAGGAGAGGTACATCACTGAAACACACATGCAAACCCTCCACAAAACAGTTGCATGTTTTGAAAAATGATTGATGTCAGAGATTCCGGGGAGCAGGATGTAGCCAGTGTTTACTCAGAGCACACCTGAGGGAGAGAAGGTTTATAAGAGTGTGATTGCGTTAACAACTTTCCCCCCTTTCCATCTCTTAGAAACTAATGGTTGTTAACTGGGACACACAGATCCTGCTCCCCTGCGAGGCTATCCCAGGGGAACATGCTTTGTCTCAGATGCCATCAACTGATTATCGAGGGTGCACACTTACCAAAAGAACCAGCTTTTTCTACTAGCATTGCCAAATTATTGGAAACATGGATACTGTGCCTATTAGAGAAAACAAAATCTTCACTATGCTAAGAGTTTTACATGGATAATCTCATGTATCTCTCACAAACTCCTAGGGTATCCTGAGTAGGATTCCTCTTCAGACAGTTTTAATTAAAAGCCTGGGGCTTAACAGCCATGTAGATGAAAGATTTTAGTGTGGCACATGGAGAGAAGCTATATACCCTTCTAATTAGTCACTAGAATGTGCAGCTAAAGTCAGCAATGATCTCATTAATTTATAAGTATTTGATGGGAGGAAACTCCCACTAACTAGATAGAGTTTTCAAAAGTAAGATTCATGCTTTCATCCATCAATGTGTATTAAAATATTTTTTTGAAATTGGATTCATGTAATGCTCTGTTACAGCTCTGTAAAGAAAGCAAACAACTAATCAAGTAGTAAAGATCCAAAACAGTGAAAATAAAATAGTAAAAACTCTCATCACAGCTGTCTAGGTCATCAAGGGACAGACAGAAGCTTATTTTTCTTTTGTAGAAATGAAACAAATGGCCTCAAATATTTCTCCCTGCCTACACGTCCTGTGCAGGATTTTCTTCTGGCTCCATACAGACATCATTTCACTGTCTTCTGTGTTCACTGCTTCTCCTGAAAAAAATCAGCTAAATATCTTGCTGTTGCCCCTTTGAAGTTAATCTGTCTTTCAATTTTTTTCTGGCTGCTCTAAAGAGTTCTCCTTTGTTGTTGGTTTTCAGCAGTTTACCATGATGGTATGTGCGTATGTTTTTCTTTGTATTTAAGCTGCTTGGGATTCACTGAACTTGTTTGGATTTCATGAGTTTTGAGAAATTGTCTACACCTATTGCTTCCATCAGGGCTTCTCTGATGGCTCAGACAGTAAAGAATCTACCTGGAATGCAGGAGATATGGGTTCGATCCCTGGGTTGGGAAGATCCCCTGGAGTAGGGCATGGCAACCCTTGCCAGTATTCTTGCCTGAAGAATCCCATGGACAGAGGAGCCTGGCAGACTACAAAGAGTCAGACTGCAAAGAGTCGGACACGACTGAGCAACAAGCATTGCTTCCATCATCATCTCCTTCTTCTTCCTTGCTGGCACTTCAGTTATATAATAGACCATTTTATCACATCACATTTGTTTCTTAAATAACTTTTTGTATGTTATACTTTAAATTCTCTTTCATTATGGACGTTTCTATCACTGATTTTTTTGTTTCCAAATCTTTTCTTCTACTGAAACCAATCTAGGGTGAATCCACTCATTGATCTCCTAATTTCAATTACTGCATTCTTCAGCCCTAGAATTTTCATTTGATTTCTTATTATCACTTTTTCTTTGCTAACTCCTATTTTGTCTTTTAATTTGTTGAACATGTCATCGTTATTTTAAAAATCACTGTTTGAATATTCTCATATCTGGATCTGGGTCTATTATATGTATACACACACACACACACACACACAGGGCTACAGTCCATAGGATCACGAAGAGTTGGATATGACTGAAGTGACTTAACACACAAGCATGCAGAGTGTACTATGTATAGTCTCTTAAGGGTCCAAACTGAAAACCTAGGAAGTTTATTAGGCCTTCTGCTCAGAGGACTAAAATTCCTCAGCATTTTGAGACCACCAAAATTTCTGTCTAGTTTGTCAGGTGTCTTAGCATGGGAGCCACAGCAAATATAGACTTGGCGGCTTAAACAACATTTATTTCTCATAGTTCTGGAGACCGGAAGTCTGAGATCAGGGTCTAATGAGAGCCAC